CAGATGGGCAGGGGATGCATGGCCAGTGCACGGCTCCCAAGGCAAAGGCAGAAGGGCGGAGAGCCCCGACCCCATAGCGGGCAGCCCACCTCTGCCCTGTGCACAAATCTGGGGTAGTACGTGTCCTCCTATGCCTCCCGCAGGGGGTGTATGCAGCAGTGCCCCTCCCTCCCCTTGCCCCCTGGATGAGCCACCTGCAGCTCTGTCCTGCACCTGGCTCTGGGTCCATTCACTGCTCTGGCAGGGCAGTGCCCCCTGCCCCTATCCCACTCCCTCCCTCACCGTGGGGGCCTTGATCTGCCCCCTGCCCGCATGCCCTTCCATGACCCTTCCTCTCCACAGACGTACCTGGAGGGTGCTGCTCTCCACACTGCCTGGTTGCATTCCTGGCCACGTGCATGCTGCGACTGCACTCAGCATCTGGGGGCCCCAGCCAGAAGGCATATTATATTTATCAGTGACATTATCACTGGCTACACTAGTCAAAAAAAGCTGATGGCCAATTATATTAATTTTCCTTTTATCGGTGCTGATTTGATATGGCACCGATATATCAGTGCACCTCTATACGTTCTATTTATGACTATTTTATACCCGTTTGTTCTTGGGCTAATGTTGCCCTTTAATTCTCTTGTATCTTTGATGTTTACCACTAAGTGTATTTATTGACAGCTTTTAGATTTCTCTTAGCCTTTTTTTTTTTTTTGCTTTGCCCAAGCTCATTAGTCACTTCTCATAACATAAAATGTCTATCACCCTGATCATCCTAGGAGTCTCTTTTGGACCCCTTTCTTTTGGGTTCACTTCTCTGGAATGAATGAATGACTAGATTTTTACTTTTGTTTGAGGTGAGATTTTGTCAGTGCCACATATAATGGTATTAACCTTTTTCTGTTTCTGCTAGAAATCATTAACTTTTTCCAGCCTTTTTCACAGCTGTATCGTATTGATCTTCTGTCAGCCTGACAAAGGAGGAGAAAGATCTTGGCTATACTTGTCAATCATAGGATAAAATAAAAAACCCCCATGATTAATTGGAACGTATTGCAGGCTTTTACTATATAAAGTAATATTGATATTTGCAGCTTTCCTGTCCTCCTTTATTCTGGATTCTGTACGTTGGGAAGTAGTTGGAGCTGTCAGTTTGTGGAATGAGTGGTGCAGGACATTGGATGCAACAAATGTCCTTCCAACAGATTCCTTCTGTTTATTCTACCGATTAATATCAGATCCTACGGTAAGTAACTTTAGTCATTTTGGGGAAAAAAAAAAAAAGCTTGGTCCATATCTGAGAGTCAGTGATGAGGGGAAGAGAAGAGCAAGTCCCTTTTCAGAAAAAAATATAGGTTGCAGTGTTTTTGGCTAACCACTTCATAAACTGATTTAACAGATCATGTGAGTTGGTGCTGAGATGAGCTGAATTTCTAGAAATTCAACATAGATAATATTCCACCTTACCAAAGTAAAAAAAAAAAAAAAAAATCAAACTTATGGAATTCAAGGTAACCCACCATACCTAATTCCCACACTTAGAATAGATAGCAAGCTAATGAGGATGCTATGAGACAAATAGTTATTCCTGTTTTTATGTAAAAATGCCTGTATACGACTCTGTTCTTTCAGGTTTTATTGTGCCAGTGCAATTGTCATGTGGCTGAGGATCAACAATTTCAGTGGCTTGAAAAGGTAAGATTGAGATAAGTGCAGGTTAACCATATCTTGAAAAAAGTTTCTTTATAAGCCACATTCTTTATAATGCCCAGTTATTTTTATATGGTTTCCTTTTCTCTGTTGGTTTAAAAAAACCCCCAAACAATACCCAAAAAACTAAACATTTTCCAGATTTCCTATCTGGAAGTTGCATGAAATCCTATAATAGCTGTCACTTGGTATGCCCGCTGTCGTTAACTTGGTAAAACAGTTTCCATTAGAGTGTGTGTTTTCTTACACTTATATCTTTAAAAAAAATGCCGTTTGGGCTTAAATTTCCTATTACTGGTTTTAGCCCAGAGGTGAATTGTTTCAACTACTTTTGAGTTCTAAGGAGTGGAAAAATACTTTCCTTCCTTAATAAAAATAAAATCTAATTGCATTTGAACAGCACCACAGCTACCAAAAATAATTAATTTGGAACTTGGCATGAACAAAGTCCTTATTAAGGAGCTTGTGCTCTGTTTCTTTAATGGTGGTGAAATTTTTAAAACAAGGATTTTTCTGAGCATGTATGGTCCATCTGTGCCATTATTATGCACTTTCCCATTCTGCTGTTGTTTAGACTGCTGCTGGAGCAGCTTGCATTATTGCCAGGCCCAATTCTGAAAGAGATTTTTAATTTACCTTTTTCATTTTTGCAATGTTGACAGTTAGCTGCTTTTCAAATAAAAGCTGAAATTCTTCTGTGATCGCTTGACTCCAGGAGCTGGAGAATTAAACATTTAATGTTGAGGGGGTTGTTTAGAAGCCCTACGGATTGGAACGCCATGCAAATTATTTGCATAAATAGGTTATATCATTCTCAGGGCTTCTCTACAGGTGCAGGGCAGGAGGCGCAGTCGTGGGATTGCCCATCAGATCCCATCACACCTTATCACCAGTGCATTAGCCTTGTTGTATTATGATGTAAAGAAAATGTGTGCACTTTTGCTGTCATAGACTGCTCGTTTATAAAAACGAGGATGAAAATTACAATGAAGAAAAAAGAAAGCATTTCTGATATCTTAAACTAACAAGTGGTAACATCCAAAGACTATATGAGAGGAAGTTTGGGATCCAGAACTTCTTTTTCTTATGCAGCAGTATTTGTTCAACTCAAGGAACAGTCTGAAAAAAAAATCAAGATTGCCCTAAAAAGTTCTGGGCAAATTTCAGTTTTAAATAGGATGAAATGAAGAAAAGGTATAATGTGGGAATAAGTAATGGAAAGCATTATAAGAAGATTGTTTGTTTGTTAGTTTATGTAATCTTGCGGCTTCATATGGAGTCCTTTCCCTTTCTGCTCCTAGCATTAGAAAAAATAAACTGTTCAGTTCTCCACAGATCTTTAGACAGAACCAAAATCTGATATACAGGGTAAATCTACAGAGAAAATCAATAAACTTAATACATATGTTATATCTGTTACCTCCTCTCATTTTTTTATTCTTTGTTTTGATCCTAGGTTTGAGCACAGGAAATCCTATTGAGTGGTAGAAATCACACTTAACTCTGCAAATCTAAATTAAACTGCTTTTAGCTATAAAAACAAAATTAAACCCTATCTTGTGTAATTGAATTCCATTATATGTAATCCCAAGAAAAACAAAAGTTTATCTTAGTGTTTTTATTCCAGGTTTTTGGCTACATACAGAAGAAGGACTTACAAGTGATCATTCTTTCAACATGTCCTGTAACTAATTATAAAACTCCAGAATCCACTTTAACACTTCCTTCTCCTTTTCTGAAAGCTTTAAAGACCAAAGAATTCAAAGACACAATCTGTTGTCCATTGCTGGAGCAGCCAAACATTGTACAGGACCTTCCTGCTGCTGGTACATTGGAACTTTAGTTTTATTTTTATATTCAACCATTTCTTTTGCAAAAACATCCTTGCATTCTGCTACAAACTAGGTTGTTGAATACATTAATTTTGAATAACAGCATTTAAATGATTAATCCTAATTTTCAATTTTTTTCCAAAATGTAGTGAATGGGGCAGGAACATAAACTCCCCCAAAATAATTCATAATATTTTGGCATTTTACAAAGCTACTAGTAAAGCAGTCAGTTTAACAAAGGCTTTTTACATAATTCAGAGCTTATCATATACAAAGTAACATTATGCCACTTATATTGTATTCTCTGACTTTAGCTGTTTAATTTCCTGTTAACTCAAGATATTTTGAATGCCCTATCACTGAAGTAGCTAAATATCTGTTGTGGTATTGGAACAGTTCCTCATATTGGATAATGTACAGTGATTGATTGATTCATTGATCCAACCTGTTAATAATTTATTTCTTAATCAGACATGAAAAAATCATTTTCATAGTGAAAACTATTAGACCTACTCAAATTCTCATCAAGGATAGTAAATGTAAATAATTATAAAAATTGTTGGCTGAAGGATGCTGACAGCCTACTGATTTAGGAGGAAAGCATTATTTACTACAAAAGTTCTTGATAGTATGGGGTGTTTTGTAACAACAGAAGAAAGTAAAGTAGATTTTAAGCAAAGTCTCATACTGCCCATTGGTACTTCCTCATTAACATTGCCCAGCAATAAATACTAACTCTAGCTCATTTTTATAAGCCCTTTTTATAATTTAGGTTCTCAGATACCAAGAGAATGTTGTGAGAACATGTAATAACATTTGAAATTCAGTAGTTTATACACAGAGAAGGTTTGAACAACTTCTTTATGTTTAGAATGCTGAGTTTGAGCACAATCATATTTTATTTTACTGAGCTGAGAGATGTTACACTCTTTGATGTAACTTGTCTTTTCTCTTGGTCTTTATCTAGTTCTGAGTTACTGTCAAGTATGGCAGATTCCTGCAGTACTGTATCAGTGCTATACTGATGTCATCAAATTGGATACCGTTACAATCGAAACATTCAAGCCTGTGCTTTCTTCTAAGATCATGGCGAGTTTAGTCAAGGTAAAGCTTGTTTTTAAAGATTAATTGATACATAGATTTTTTGATATTAGAGTGTTTGAGGTTTTGGGTTGTTAAGGTTAAGTGAGATGTAGAGAAGTTTGCAGAGACAGAGGCACAAATTTGGATTAATGGACTTTTCTTAAGCGAAGTATTAGCAGTTGGAGTACTGAATGGTTTAAACTGTTTCCATCTGTGATCAACCCCTAAGCATCAGTGAATCTAAAACTTAACATAAGTGGTCCAGTATGTCAAGAGATGCTTTCAAATGTCTGTTATTACTTCAGCTTCTTATAGAAGTCTCTCATTTAAAAGCCTATAAGCACTGTTATGTGTCTACTGATCCCATATAAGTGTCTTACCCCTATACATCCATAGTTGGGATGATGCCATTCTATCAGTTATACGTTTTCTGGGGACTGACCTAGTCCATACATATTCTGTTTTGGAACTATTTTCTAAGCTGTATCAGCTTTATAAAAATATAGATTTGGGGGCATATTGAATCATAAAGTTTGTACATTGAAACCCAACTCCTGCAGATGCAGTACTAAACCCAGTGCTGTAGCTTGAGGTCTAGTTACTCAGTAGCCAGCAAAAGAAAAGTTAAATGTTTTCCTTTCTAAAATGATTTTAATGAACTGTGGCTACTCAAAAACACTTTCTCTGCTTTTGCCAATTGGACTTCCGTTTAAATGGAAATAGCAACCAGTAGGAGTGTCTGTGTATTTCAGCTGTAACTGTAGGAATTACAAATTTCAGCTTTTCAGACAGCGCCTATTGATTTTTTTTAAAGGATCCAATAGGCTGCTAAATTGGCCATGTTTAAATTTTGGAGGGAAATAAAGGTAGTCTCTTCCTCGGAGGGGTGGGGATAACTATATGAGGAAGGGAATGCAAGTTAACAAGTCCCAGTGTACGATTAAACTGTATTCTCTTGGTGTGTTCACCAGTACTCTCTATATCTTCTTTTTTAATGTCTGACTTTTACATATAGTTAATATTTTAATCACTTCGCTGTTCACAGGAGTAAAGTTTTGCATAGGAGGTAAAGAGTGATTTTTTTTTTTTTTTCCTTAATATTGTTAGTGACTGCTTCTTTATTTTATTAGGATGTTCCTGAAAGCACAGAGATGTTGAAGAAATTACTGGCAACCAATGAAATTCATAATAATATCTATACATAAAATGGACATCTACCCGCTGACCAGTACTGTAAAGTCTTATGTAATATGCACTTTTGTAAACTACAGTTGCTTTCAATGAAAATATTTTGGAATTGTGCTTGTTTACTTAAAGGTGAAATAAATACTGACTGATTTTACATTTTGAGGGTTTTGGGTTTTTTTTAGTTGTTTGGGCATTAATTGTTGCCTTGCTTACTAGATGTAAGAAATACTAGATGGGAAATTTTAGAACAGTTTGTGCAGGGAAGATGTCTTGAGAATGAAACATGCCTTTTTATTTAAGTGGACTTTTAAAAAATATATATGCACTTTCTATATGCAAAACAAAAAATATACTTCAGGAGTACAATTATTTATTGTCATATTATTTTGAGAGAGAGAACTTGAGATTTCTTAAATCTGTCCTTTGTAAGCCTGTGTCTGTGACTCATCTCCTGTAGCAAAGTGCTTCAGCACTGCAGTTGGTATTGCTGTACCATGTTTTTAAGAATCTTAAAGTATCTTAAGAAAATGATGGTAATGAACTGTAGTAAATGAACCAGTGCAAATCTGACATTTGTTTTTCAAATGAGTAGAGCTATAGGAATGTTGAGTCGCAGCATATGTGTGTAATATGTAATTTCATTGTTTTTATTTCACTTCTGAATTTCCCTCTGTATTTTAGCCACCTTTTTAAAGAAATTTACTTTTTGATTGTCATAAATTTTGCTGGCCAAACCTGTTCAATTAATGTTTTATATCTTAACAATCAAATCTGACCAAAAACACTAATTTTAAATCATACGTTAAAATGTGCATTGAGCATCTTAAGTTTACAAATGTGTACTTAGCACAAATCATTTTATACTAAATATGAAATAATCACACACACACACACACACACACACACACACACAGCTTAAATATTAAGTAGTTAGAGTTAAAATGTTTATAAAAAATTGGTTTAAGAGTCAGTGATATATTGTTCTACCAGTGACTTTTAAAGTATATGTTAGGGTCAACATAAATTTGATACATTAAAGATATGTTCTCCTTGACTATTAATTCAAGATCCTAGTTGAGAATGTGTTGCAAGTTTCATTTGGTTATAACCAATTATTGTAAGAGTACTGTCAATACAATGTAACCTTTTAAACTGTTTGAGTCATTTAATAGGGAAGAAAGATTACTTTGAATATACTATGGCTTAGCTTGCTTTCAACCTGGCTAATTTTATTTTGTGTAGGAAGCCCACTGAATCTGAATTGTATATTTTGTGGTTTTCTAGTTGTGTTATTTTGTGTGGTTTTATCTCAGTAGTCCCTGCTGTATTTTGTCTATTAATTGCCCCTGATGAGGGTGTAAATTTTCAGTTTATTGCAGCATACTAATTAGTTGGGATTTAGGCTTAATATGCTGTTAATACAGCAACTAGTTTAGAATTGAGATAAACAAAGAGCTATCACTCTGCAAGTGTTATATTGTAATAATTCACTAGAGATGCTTCTCCTTGCTGGGTTTTTTTTCTCCCACCTCTAAGCAGATATTTACTTAGCTTGAATAGAACCTTTTTCTGCCTTTGACTTTGTACCTGTGACCTGAATTCATATTTTTGCCGTTGGCTTCTCCAGTTGCCTATTTTATACATTTCATATATGTAGTTTACAATAAATATATACAAGTTTCACGGAAAATCTTAATCTTAGAGCCCCACTACAGTGCAAGAAGCACTATCATGCTTCTTGCATGGCAAGAAGCATGATAGTGGGATCCAGCACTGGGTCCCCTTTCGCCTTATTGTTAGTACAGAAGGAGCATGATCCTGGGTTCCTTCTGCACCAGCAAGTAGCAGGCTCCTGTGGCTGGGAGCCCCCTCAGCTAAGAGGTTCCCAGCCATGGGCACACCTCACGCACCCCCATGGCTGGGAGATGGAGCAGCCACAGTTTCTCAGTCTCTGGGATGTGGGAAATTATACTTCTGATACTGATTTTATAGCCACTACAGTTTACCTAGGGTAAATTTAATGTCTCGAAGTTAAAACAGTAACAAAAAATAAGTATTGGAATCAAGGTGTATATTTCTAAATGAGAATAATTAGCCATTGGAATGGCTTGTCAATAGTTGAGAGGCAGTATTATAATATGAAATCAGGATTTGATCTGTTAGGTGACTTTATAGTTCATACGTTAACTGGAGCACTACTAGGTGAAGAGGTTGCACTGGATCTGATGATGATTTCTTCCCTGAAAATGTGTTGATTTGATCCTATGCCTGCTGAAGCCAGTAAGATTCTTTACATTCACATAAATGAACTGGTACTCATCCTTGCTTCATGAATCTTAAAAGTTAACTATTTCCTACATAAGACTGCACGGCGGGGAGGGAATTTTTTTATATATTCTTTTCATTTTACCACATTTTATAGAGGTAGTCTCTAGGTCCTGCTCCCAGTAAAAAAACAAACCCCTAAAACCTTGTCAGCTTTCTTTTTAAGCAAGTCTTTGTTATTAGGGAGAGCTGGTAGCCAGCAGTTATTTGGATATTTAATCTTTTCTGAGAAGCTGTAACATCTCCACTACTTGTAATTAACTGGGGCGAAGTGTCACTTTTTGGTCCCAAAAAATTCCTTTTTGGTTTGGCTAAGATGCAAACCCAAGAAAATCATCCCCCCCCCCCCCCCCCCCCCCCCCACCTGCACAGTCACCAAAAAATGTTGGCGTTTTGCCAAAATAACTGAACACAAGCTTTCTAATGTGAAGTTGAGTCGGTGTTGCAATTTGAGAAGAAGTTATGGCACCTTGTCCAGCACTGAGAATCCCAAATACAGACAGCTGGGCTCCTTCCCACCCACCTCCTTTCTCTTAATGTTTCTGGGAGGCAGAAAGGGAAGAGACAAGGAGTGCCTACCACTTTCTAGGTATGAGGGAGAAAGCCAACTTGTGTTGCTTCCAACCATCCATCCATGAAATAAGTAAATGGTGTTAAATTAAAGCTTGCAGGATGGATCTGGCCCACAGCTGTGCTGTGGTGGCCTGTGGGGCTGGGGGAGAGGCTGGGAATTTGGGGGTAGGAAAAGCTGGAGTGGGGCCTCCTGGTGAAGTCTGAAGTATGGAGTCTCATTTGTGACATGTATTGTTTGGGGGGGAACAGAAAGGGGTTTGGTAAGTGATCGCTTTGTCAACCCTTGCAACTGCCACTGCTGCATGCAGATCTAACCCACAAAGAGCCCTGTCCAGGGTAAGTTTGACACTGGCCTAAGACTCCCTGCCTTGCATGATGGTTTCCCAGTCCCAGTGCATGGATCTAGCAGGGCACTGAAGCCTTTTCCATGTCCAAGCTTTCTCATGCTGCTAGCAAATGTGGTTAGTCTTCTAATGCAGGTTGTGCAGAATGCTTGAAATTTAAATGTGACTGAGGAAGAGTGATAGGCGGGGTTGTTCCATTTGCACATATTGGAAATTGTTTACCAAAAAATGCTTTAAAGATATGCATTTGGCCTATGAAGTTAAGCACTTGAAACTTAGGAAATGTTAGAATTAAGGTCGTCCATATAACTGCAACTTAGCCTGCCTGTAATAGTGAATTATGGTAAGTCTGTACAGCAGCAGTTCCCAGATTTTTCCTGGTTGTGACCCCACTTACAGTTATATAATTTTCTATGACCCTACAGAGTGGTAGCTGTTCACATGCCTATAATTAAGGGGGAGCGTGTCACAACCCAAAGGGTGTGATTTTTGTTTTTGTGTGCTTCGGCACTGCTAAATTGTCCCCGCTAAATTGCAGCTTCCTTGAATGGTGGAGTTTTCTGCTGCAAAAGAGAACCCCGGTGCAAGGGAGAATTTCCCGCCAATTTGAAGCTTTCTTTGCAGGGTGCATTTCTTTGTTGCAGCACAGAGATGCTCGTTGCAAAGAGTTCCCGCCATTTGTATGCTAATTTGAGTCCCATTATTGGCCAGTTCTAAATTATTCACACGTGGCGACTAGTGATTGGCTTGCTAGCCGTATAAAAGGCTTGAGCGGTTTCCGCCCAAGTTGGAGGACTCCACGAACAAGGGAGGAGGAGACTTCACGCTGTGTGAAGATCTCTAAGCGCTGCGGATCCTTACGGACCCAGCGCATTTAAAGCAGGCAACGGAGGTCTGATCAACCTCTAGCCTCTCCCCGTCGCCGAGCGCAGTCCAGACGTATCCCTTCCCGCGCGCAAGAGAACCGGACCCACGGAGCCTAGCAAACTTTGTGTGAGTGAGTGAACAGAAGAACCCACGGAGCCTAGCAAACTTCGTGTGAGCCCTTACGACCGGCCTCAGAGCTCTTCTACCCAGGTTCGAGTCCTGCAGGTTTATTTTCCCGTCGCCGAAACCCATTGCGACGTACCCTCGTATTTTTCATCTTCCTGTCGCCGGAACCCTTTGCGACGTACCCTCGTGCCCTGCAGGTTCGAGTTTTGTTTTGTTGTCTGTCTGTACCCGCAACTCAAGCAAGCTTTCCAGCCTGCACCACTGCCATCTCGGTGTAAGTAAACAATCTTTTAAACTACCGATACGCGTTTGTGCCTAATTCCAGCTCGACGGCCTTCCCTCTCCGACCCGGCGTGCCCGGGCTGCTGGCCACAGCCCGCGTGCAGTGTGGAAAAGGGCTCGGGTTGCTCCCAGCCCGCACAGAGTGGAGACCCAGAGTGGAACAGTTGAGATGCAGTTAAACTGTCCCTGTCTGCTCTTCCCCATAGTGAAAGCTAAACCAGGCCACTTACCCCTGAATTAAACAGAGCTGGGTTATCCTGGGTTAGCTATCCCTTACCTTGCAGTAATTGTAGGCATAAACACAGTTATCAGGGAGCAGCTGTCAGTCCCCACATTCTGTTAATTGCAGAGTTGGGGGAACAAGGAGTTTATGAATTCACTTGTGGTCATCACTCCTACTTTGAGATCTGTTGAATTGCACAAACGGTCTAATGGTGGGGTAATACATTTGCACACTTCAGTTCCTTAACATATATTTGCACATTTTCTTTTCAACAACAGGATACAACAAATGTGACATGGCTTGGCAGTAGTTTATGTGAGGAGGAGGTCTCCAAAGATATGCAGAGACTGCTCAATACTCTCCTTTGCAATGTTTTCTTTAATATTTTCATCCTCTTTGGGATCAGTTACATGA